GATCCAGCAACATAATGTGTAATTAGTTGGAGTGTATAGCCCTCAGCAGGGAGAAGTGAGGTTTCCCCTTCTTCACTATTCTTGCTGCTGGCCCAGTTTCCCAAGGAAGATATCTCACCCTCAAGGTTAGACAATTTGTTCCATAGCAACCCAGCTGAGGTGCCACAACCCAGAGTGACACCTTCAACCAGCCAAATAGCCAGAGGCTTGGCCTGGTTTTTCTGAAAGTTTCAGCAAACAATATTATTTTTTATTATTATTATTATTATCATTATTTATGTTGGAAGGGGTGGAATCACATCTCTGAAAAGGCCAGCCAAGGCTATGACATTGAAAGGAAGAGGTCTAGGCAGCTGCCAGTACTAGTCCTTTCAGGGGCAGCTGCAGCCCTCTGTTTACAGAGAAGTGGAGAGGCTGGATGGCTGCCTCCTGAGCCGAAGAGCTTTTCTGGATATCAAGGGCTAACGTCTTCTCCTCCTATGGGGAGCAGGGCTAGAGCAGCCACTCCTCTTCCCCATCCAGCTGTGCCTTGGGAGGGGTTCCTGGGTGCCCCACTGTGGGGCTCAGGGTAGCCTGTGTTTTAGAGATCCGGGCAGAAGGGTGTGGATAGCATGAGTGGCAGGTGACACAGTGGAGGCCCACCATTCTGCTGTTTCAAGGGCTGTAGTGTCACCACCAGCCACCTGAGATCAGTGGAGTAGACCTGAGTGCCCTGTGGACTGCTGTTCTGAAGGACTTTTCAAGTGAGATTTTCAATAGAACATATAAGAAATGCATATTTACAAATTGCAGCCATACTAAAGGGCATAGAGTGAACAGTCCTCCCTCCCACTCCAAATTCCCAACCTTTCCCCAGAAGTTATGTTGATCCTTCCAGATACATACTTCCAAGAGGTTTCTCTTGGACACATTTTTATTCTTTCTTCTGAGTTAGTCTGAATCTTAACTTTAATGTCTCTTCTTTCCCGACATCCATACACAAAGTAGAGAAAATAGTATAACAGACCTCCATGTACCCATCACTAAGCTTCAATAATTATTGAAATTTGTCCAATGTTATATCATCTAACCTGGTTACTGAAATTTTCTGGAGATGGGAAAATCCAAGGTATCATAACACTGTACCTATAAATATTTTTCTATGTATTTCTAACTGATAAAGACTTTTAAAAAATAATGATGTTATGATCACACCTAACAAATATGCTAAAAAATCCTTAGTATCATCTAGTCTTCACTGACTTCCACTTATTTGGAATCCAACCATCCTACAAACTACATGAAACTTGCCTCTGCCCTGGATTTTGAACATGGGCCTCCTACTTACCCTGACAAATATAGAGGGTAGGAAACTCAGGCCACAGCAGCCTGAAGCCTGTCCATCCTTCTTCTGGATGCTCTTGCTCAGGAAAGAGGCTCTGTGTTCAAACATTCTTTCAGGGTGGAACAATAGTCTAAGGAAGTTCCAAGCAATAATAATCTGGAAAGCATTATTCTCTAGAGGAGGCTTTGTCCTTTGCCTGATAGGTAGCATTAGGAAAGCTGTCTCTGTCAAATAGAAAAAAAATAACATTGGCCCCCTGGAATTAAGTGAATATTTGACAACCAAGGAGAGTTTATTTCTGCTATGCTCAGAGATCATATCAAACATGAGATCTCTCTGCAAGGGTTACTCTGTCAAAGCTGCCCAAGTTTCATGGCGGTGGAAGTGAACAGCTGGTTTGTCTATATTGTTAATAGCTGGTTCTTCTCAGGCATTCTTTTCCTCAGTTTATTCATTTGATTATTTTGGCTTCTAGACTACTCTTTATGCCCAAGACATGAGCATCTCTCCCATCACAAGTACATATCCAATTTCCCAGCCCCTGTCCATTCTTGAATTGATGTCTGAATCTCCAGGAGAGACAGAAGAGCGCCCTCCACTCTCTCCACCCCATGCCAGTTCAAAGAATGTGAGATCTCTGGCCCTCAGCCCTCAGTTCCCTTGACCAGAAAGGCATGGTCAAGCCAATTGGCATAAAGTTGGGTGTGGAAAGTTCTGGCTGCAAGTACATAGGACATAATACACTACTTGCTTGTTTGCCAGCCAGCCTTCTATGCCAGGACTAGAAAAGCTGTAAGTAGCAGCCACTTGCTTTCACAAACTTGGTGTCAGTCTGTGATGACATTATCTTAGGGAGGAGAAGTAAAACCTCAGCTCTAGAAGCACAAATTCCAGTAGGTGACCCCTGGCTCTCACTGACATTGTGCCTTCTCTATTCCATTTACTGTCTTCTACATGGACATGGAGAAGTGGACCACCAGATTGGGCACTTGAATGCTTATCTAGTTTTGGGGGAGAAATTCATTGGACTTTCTGAATTTCAGAGTTCAGCTATACAGTGATGCAAAGAGAATCCACTTGCTCTGTAGCCTTCAAGAATCTGGTACTATGAGATCACAGAGGGAAGAGAGGAGGTAATATCCAAGTGTTTTGGAGTTATTTGCAAGAAATCTGCACAACCAAACCAAGCCATGATCAAGGGGAGCCAGATTCTCTGATTATCAGAACTGCATGAAACAAACTGTTTATAAGTTTCATACAATCCTGCATTGTTCCCATAGGCACCCAATGCAGGCAGCAGGCTGCAACCACAATGGCTGGTATTGCCCTCTTGAGGATTCTCTGGGCACTGCAGAAGCCCAGCTGGACTGGAGAACATTTTGGCCAAGGGCACCCAGCTGAACCAATGGAAGCAGGAACAGAAATAGATGGGCATGTGTGGACTTAAAAAAAAAAGACCTGTTGAGGACCTGGAAAGATGCTCTATGAGGAGAAAGGTGCAGAGAGAGTGTTGAGGCAGAGTGTCAGGATGTGCAAAGCTAATGGAACACACTATATCCTAAAGAGCTTGGAAGCTTAGCGCACTGGGGCCAGCATGACAGTCATCTGGTTGAGCCCCTTTCCAAGCCTTGGGCATAAGAGCAGGGTGTAGACAGGAGTCTTGAATGAGAGAGAAAAGAGGGAGAGGGAACAGAAGGGAAGAGAGAGAGAGATGAAGGAACAGAGAGGTTGAGACTTGGGGGGAAGATAAAATGAATGGTTAAGATAATAGCAATGAAAGAAATATTCCTTAAGGGAATGTGGTTGATAAATTGGCATCTGTGAGTTTATTGTCTGAGCAATTTTCCCTGCTCCCAGAACTGTCTCATCTGTTCCAGCTGTGAAGGATCGCCTCTCTCATGCGCTATACCAGAATGCCCAAAGTTTGGGCTCAGTTCCTTCTGCCATCTGATGAGCTGAGGGCACACATTTGGAAGCCTCCTATTCTTGGTTGTTCCCCTCCTCGAGGGCCATTCTGATGAAGACCTTCCAGATATTTATTGCTGCACAATCCTACAACTGTGCTTCCATGGCAGGCAGAGTCTATGACTAGAGAGCAGGCTTGGGGAAGGCAGGGGTCCTACCATTAGTTGTATGGCCTTAGTCTGGTTTTCTGTGGAAAGCTACTGCTATACTCTTCTGCAAGGGCAGCATTTCAAGTATCCTTTCACCTTGGGACTAATATGTAAGAGGATAGGATCTAGCCTCTAGGACTCTGAGCAAGCCTCAAACACTGCAAGATTCTGAACTCCAGCAGGCTCACCTATTTCCTAACAGCAGAGCCCAAGCATATCCAAGTTCATAGCCCAAAGAGACAACTGTAAGACACAATATTTCCTTAATACTCCCATTGGAAGATTCTAGGCTGCACCTAGTATCTTCCCCCTCTCCTCTTTTACTCCAAGGCAAGCCATAAGAAAATTCCAGGACATAGCTTCCTTCTCTGGAATATCAGAAGCAACATGTTTCCCTTCTGTTGTATGTGAACCATTTTACTTATAGGGTACAACCTGGCCTCTAGGTCAAGAGAGCTGTGCCTATCTGAGGCTTCTGAAGGGAGAAAGAACACTGACAAGGAGCCCAGATAGACACTGCATAAGGTGTCTATTCTAGAAAACCTTCTCTGGCTGGTCCTACCTGTCATTGGGCACTCAAATACCTTCACAGTTTTTAGCAATCACTATTATCAGTAGGGAGGTTTCATATATTATCCCTTTGTTTTTGCTGCTTGACCATTTTTCTTAGTCTTTCTTTCTCTGAGGCAAGGAATATATTTCCTTTTGCTTTCTCATCACACTCACTGCCACCTGCTGCTGCACCCTTGACCCACTCCCTGCTTCTCCCTAGCCTGCCCTCAGCTTTCTGATGAAGACGCTACATTCTCTAGATAGAATTTTGACCACGCAGTTCCAAGACTATTCTTGTCTCAAAGTTGATTCTTGTTCTTGGAAATTACCCACATCCTTGACCTTGGCCTTTTCTTTACCCTATTCTGTGAACTTACATAGGTCTTTCCCTCCTCTGAGTCTTTGTTATCTTATCTATAAAATTATTATAATTCTAGCCTCTCCCAGCTTGTTCACAATCTGTTCATGGAATCAACAGCTTGCGTTTTGTCCTCATTCAGCTGAAAATAAGAAGGATTTGGAAGAAATTTTTTAAAGAATTTTTTTGTTCTCTATTGTGTTTCTAGAGCTGGAAGAGGGAGGAGTGCTAATTTGCTAAGGAGTAGGGGGAGGGAAAAGGTGGACAGGGCCAAAGGCAGCTGGGAGTGAGGGGTGGGCTTAGGGAAGATTTGGAAGAACTCTGGGAGATAATATATAAATTTTTGACCCTGACCTTCTCATCAGGGCTACCACTTCAAGACTTCTTATCCTTGGGCTGCCACATCCCATACTAAATATATCCAAGGATCAGTTGGAGGCTTCCAGGACCTCTCCATTTTACTTCCACCCCCAGTCCACATTTCCAGATGTCTTTGCAGCAAAGTAAAATTCCAGAGAAGCCTTAGGGGAAAAAAAGAAAATGAAGCAATTGGCAATGAAAGGCAGAAAGAGTAGATGCAACCCTTAAAGAAGGGAGTATCCCTAAGGAGGTGGTGACAAGGGGAGGAGAAGGGGAGGAGGAGAGGAGGAGGAAAGTGAGCCTGTCCCTTTAAGGGGGTTGGCTGTCAATCAGAAATCCCTTTTCATTGCAGGAGAAGAGGACAAAGATACTCAGAGAGGAAAAGTAAAGGACTGAAGAAGGAGACTGGAGAGACCAGGATCCTTCTAGCTGAACAAAGTCAGCCGCAAAGCAGACTAGCCAGCCGGCTACAACTGGAGTCAGAGTTCCAAAGACATGGGTGAGTTTCAAAAACTTTAGTATTGAAGATTTAAGCAGGCACAGGAATTCACAGGAAAATTTCCAACTTTGAGGTTCAGGGTTTCCAAAGGTTTAAATAAGTTGTGTTTTGGCATTTGTTTTCTTTCTTAATTTCTTAGCATTCAATTAGATTAACTATTTTTCTGCTCTACTAAGCATGATAGTTTATTGCAAAAGAATTCCAGCAGCACGTGTGGAATCCCACAAGTCCTCAGAAAGAGTGGCCAGCAGGATGGATGTGGTCATGTGTCTCCTACCTCCTCACTTCCTTCTACCTTCTCTTTTTCTCCTGATTCTAAGGCCCTGGTTATGGCCATGTCAGCTGGCATACCTGGTTCTGCTGGAGGCAAATGAATATAGACTAGCCCTCAGAGTACCAAATAACTGCTTGCTTGATACAAAATTTGGACCCTGTTTAGCATCAGTAGGAATTTGGGGAATAGAGCAAGCTGAACTCAGGCTTGGCCATGGCTATGGAGGCCATTCTCAGGTTCGGGAAATGAAAATAAAGTCCTCAGTGGTTTTACCATGGAGAACAGGTGTATGTGTGTGTTTGCATGCAAACATAGATGACAATTTTTAGAAAATGTCATACATTTAGCCTTAATCCCTGCTGTGACAGAGAGGCTACTGGGACTTCAGGACTTTTGCTGAATTGATTGAGAACTGAGGGCTTCTTTAGGTTGCATGAACAAAGAAGCTATAAGGTTCCAGTATCTGGTAGTATCTATTCAGGAGAAGGTGCAAATGTAGCAGCTTGAACACATCCTGAATGAAATGAGACTCAATTGCCCTGTGTATTCATCATCAAATGTAGTACCCAGTAGACTCCAACAAGATCCACAGGTTTTCGATTATATTGAGCTGGTATCAGCCTTTACATTGTTTTATCCTAAATCACTAAGAGAGCTCTCTGAAGCATGTGCTCAGGTATGATAGTTAAGAGGATAGAACACTGGATTAGGAGTTAGAACAACCAAGTTCGAATCCCAAATCTGCCTCTAATGAACTTTGCAATCATCAGCAGGTCACCATGAATCACCACTTCATCATCTGGAAAACAAGGGTAGCAATAACTTCTTTGTCTATTTCAGGGTTGAGGATTAAGTAATTATTTTGTGGAAGCCCTTTGAAGATGGAGAAGCCCTATAACAATTGTAAATTATGATATGACCAACTACTACACAATAACATGTGTACAGGCTTACTTACTCTTTCTGGTGTGACTGGATTTTCTTTGTGCACAATTTGTATGCTTGGGTAAGAATCATTTGACCAATTAAATGTGACCAGGTGAGAGGTGAATGTTAGAAGAACTCAGTTCCTGCCCTGGGTAACATCAGGAGCCCTATCTAATGTCACGGTAGCTGACTGGGTAGGTTGTGCATTCAAAACAGAAAGAGAGAGAGAGAGAGAGAGAGAGAGAGAGAGAATGAATATGAGTAAGAAGAATGTTTAATGTTGCTTCCTTAGAGGTTAAAAGCCCTGAAGAAATGATAGGAATAAATAAGATGATCACAGGAGCAGTTTCTTATTATGAAGGCTGGATGGACACCCCATTGAGGAAGTGTATTGGAATGGGCCATACTTGCTCCAGGTACACATGATGGTAGCCATTGAATTTCCAGCTGTTCAGTTACAGAGTATCTCAAATATTTTGTGAATTTCAAACCATCTCTAACAAGGTACTGAACTGCTATTACTTCTGATGGGGTGTGTGTTGCTGTCTAACTATCACAGTAGACAAATTACATCATAGAATCTGCAAATGGAAGGAACTTTAGAAGTTATCTGGCCAGAACCAGGTATGGTGTCACATGCCTATAATCCTAGCACTTGGGAGGCTGAGGCAGGAGAATCATAAGTTCAAAGCCAATCTGGGCTACATAGTGAAATACTATCTTGAAAAAAAAAGTTATCTGAGCCAACCCTCAATGAACAATTCATTTCTATGACAACAAATTAAATGTTGATAAGTCTCTGCTTAATCACCTCCAGGAACAGGATGCTCACTACCTGAACAATCCAGAATCCCTTAGAATTACATGTAAAAAAGAGCACTGAATTCAATACTATCTGCACAAAGGTTTATTAGGGAAAGTGATGGATCATAAAAATTTGATCAGACTTGGGAGACAGATATTCCAAATGAGTCTTTGAGACAACAGTGGAATCAGAAAAAAGCTGAAGAGCCATAATTGATTATTCTTTGCTCAGTAACACAATGCCATCACTGAACAGCAAAACATTGGCTTCTGCAAGCCCATTGTTGTTGTCTGAGAACAGTGGCTGTTACCCTGGTAACCAGACTGTGATGCTTCCCTCCAAAAGTGGCTGTTTGCCAAGCAGTATAATTTTGGCTAGCTTGGAGTAAGTGGGTGTAGCCAAAGCAATAAAAAATGTGGAAGCAGAGCAGAGGTTCAGTTTTACCAAATCCCCGAAGACTATCTGAATCCCATCAAGGTGGCAAGAATGTCACGAGAACAGTAGGAGTTAAAAAGAAACCAGATCCAGATCAGCATTATTCTCCCTAGGGATACTGACTAAAATGATCAAGGGCATCCTTCACCACATCACTTCTCATCTTGGCTCTCCAGAGCCAGAGAAGCTCTTGGAATGCCAGGCAGATTGAGTGGTTTGCCCAGCTCCCAGAGGCTTTCACCTTGGCTCTGAGCTAGGAAAGCAAGGAGTCTACTTAACAGCCTGACAATAGAAATGTTTCTCAGAGCTAGCTGAGTAGTACCATCTTCAACCCTGGGATGTAGGTGGGAGATGACATATAGTCTCCAAATTCCTTAAGGTAGAGTCCCAACCAGTGGCATCCTTTTCCATGTTGCCTTTTTGTGTATCATCTTGAAGCCTTAAAAATCATCCTTTGGTTATAATTCTTTGCTTTGAAAGACCAAAAATCATGTTCTCCATCATATGTGGACTTTAGATCTAGGGCAAATACAGCAATGTGGTTGGACTTGAGTCACATGATAAGGCAAAAGCACACAAAGGAGGTATGGGGATAGGTAAAAAAACCCAAAAAACATGATACTATTTGATGTCCTCAGTGCAGAGGAACTAATGCAGAAGCTATAAAGCGGCAGAGGTTAATAGGAGAAGGAGATCAGGAACTAGAGAAAAGGTCAGTTCGAGGAGAATCAACTTAGAACGTAACACATTTGTACGTGGAAGCAATGCTAGGAATCTCCCTGTGTAGCTATCCTATCACAACTAGCAAAAATGCTTTGTCTTTCTTATTATTGTTTATACTTTCTCTTCAACAAAATTAGAGCTAAGGGCAGAACAGTTTCTGCCTGGAAGCGAGAGGGTAGGAGGGGAGAGGGAGGGGCGGGGGGGGAGGGGGGAAAAATGGCCCAAACATTGTATGCACATACGAATAAATGAAAAAAGAAAACAACATAGAAATGCCCATCCTGCCCACAGAACTTCAGATCTAGAAAAGATTAAGTCAGAGCAGTGGCATGATCAGAAAGGGTCACATCAACTGTTATAAGTGAACAGAGAGTTTTCCCTTTCTTTCCCACTCACAGGCCCAAACTTACATCAAAAGTTCAGCAAGTGCTGATTAATTAGTCCCTCCTTAGATATTGCAAAATAGTTCCAAGGACAATCTCTCACCTCTGTACTGGTCTCAGCTCTCTGCCATGCAGGGCTCTGAAAAAGAGTCAGTGACATCCCAAGGAGGAGAACAAGGTTCTCCAGATCAGTTTCACACTGCAACCATGTAGAAAGGAAGAACTGGCAGCAGACTGGCCTAAGGAATAAGTTATAGCTACTGTTGTCTCTGGTGCCAGGCACTTCTTCATCTCCTCATAATTGGACAAACTGGAGACAATGTGCTAGATGTAGATTTTAATAATCAAGCTTGTATTTTAGCCTCCTAATGTTTACTTATAAATTAATTGTGTGTGTGTGTGTGTGTGTGTGTGTATAAAAGATGATCCAGATGCATGGTAATAATACCTGTCTAAAGAGGAGGTTAGGATTCCTTTTCATTTAACCCTGCCCACATGACTTGACTATCCAGCATGCTTGGATTCCCAAGTCCCTGTGGCTTCAGCACTTGAATGGTATAAGTGATGATATCATGTAAGAAAGACAAGATTATAGACAGGGCTTTGTCTGACCAGGATAAGGCCAAAAGCAAAAGTCTTTGTCTCTGTTACCTCCTGATGATTGTTGTTTTATTCTTAGAACCCACCCACTTGTCCCCATCCATCCCTAGTACCAGTCACCGCTGCTGTAGTATCTTGGCCCTGTCAACTTCTATAGGCCATGATCAAGGAAGCCTCTGTTCATGGGGTGAGGTTCAGGGGAGGGTTCTGGGAGGAATGTAAGACTGTAGTGAATATTAGAGACTTAGGGAGATGGGGCCAGTTTCTCACTCAATGAGCCTGCCTGTTGTTTAGCTCTATTGTATAGGGTTCTTCTATCTCTCCCTTTGTCAGCTGGATTCAAGGGACAAGCTGGGAATTGTGTAGGGTACAATTGGTCTCTTTCTACCATTCCTTTCTGATGAAAGCCCTTCCTTTCTTCCCTTTGATGAGTTCCCAGATTCACACTGAATTTCCATCATGGATCTGGTCCTTGAGGCGTGCTGAGGGCATGGGAAAGGAGGGAGGGCTTGAGAGTTCTTGGCTCCTGCTTAAAGAGACAGCATCAGAATTAACAGAGTCACTGGGATGGGCCAAGATCTGAGAGTCTCAATGGTCCTGTTGATCTCTGTCAGAGAACATTGTTAAGAAGAGCTTTAAATTCTATTACAGATTTATTAGACTTATTTTGGAAGTTTACAGATAAATGTTGCCAACTCTGAATTGATTTCTTCCCTTTGTTTACATTTTGTCCAGAGGACCTGGTTATATTCGTTTAGGTAGTTTTAGATTTTGATTCACAGATAGAAATCTGTTCTCCCAAACAAGATGGAAAGTTCTCTAAGGAAAGGGAATGGACCTCCTAATTCCCAGAGTATCTAGGTTACCTGAATCCACACAAACAGAAATGAAAGGAAAACACTAGAGAGGGTCATTGTTTTTCTCTATCATCTCTCATCCAAGTCAGACAGTTTTATCCAGTTGAGATGCGTTGGGTAATATATAGTTCTTTTATGTGAACTCTACCATGTCACAGTTTGTACTTAGCCTGCAAATGTGAATATCTCTTGAGAGAGCCAAAGAACTTCTCCAGAATCCCTCACAGGCTTCCTGAGTCCTGCTCATACCTGCTAACCATGAGGGATTCTGAAATAGGGGTTGTGGCTTTAGGCTATTACTCACACATACCCAAGTTCATTTATTGGATGGTGAAAAATCAAAGTCAACCCAATGAACCTGTTTCAGAATGCTTCAATTGTCAACTACTTTGATGAAATAATACTTTTTTGCATGTTATGAGTTTTTCCCAGTTACAATCAAAATTTGATGTTTGCTTGGGCAGACTGACAGATTCTTCACTTCTGCTGAATTTCAATGCCCTCAGAACAAGCATTTAATATCAGTTGTGAAGAGATGAACATCTGATGCTTATTCTGATATTGTTGAACTGTTTATAGCTCAACAGTGATAGATTTATCTGAGGTCATGTCCTTCAGATTTCACATTAGAGTCCTTCTTGTCTCTTTCTTTGAGTAGCAGTGGGACAGAGTTATCTAAGCTCTAAGAAAATAGATAAAATAGATGTAAAAAAAGCATCAGTTAATGATTCAGAGTTGCTCCAAAGGCTTAGCTCTTTGTCATCCAGTAAGAACACTACATATGACACTCTCTGCTTCTTTTTACGGTAATCAAGTGATCAAATATCAAGGATGATAAATCATTTCTAGTGTATTTGATCACTTGACGAGAGGAAGAACCATCTTCAGTGTATGACTTAGAGGGGGCATCTGCTAAAACTTACAGTGGAATTCCCTGTTTGGCTAGCAAGAGTTCATGTTTCTCCATCCCTGATCACACCTATACCACCATTTAGCCAGGGGTGAAAGGGCTGGGATGAGTGAGTGGGCCCAGGAGAATCACTTGCTAGGGTGGGTTGCTCTCCTTACCCTGGGCTAAACAAACAGTCCTACCATTGTTCCCTGGGTCTGACCCCCTCCCCACCCCCAGGCCTGTGGGGCCCCTGTAGAATACCAACAAGGCTCCTGAGATCTCAGGGGAAAACAAGGCCTCTTTGTCTGGGGGAGCTATGGAGGGCTCTGTCCAAGCCTTGACCCTGTGCTGGGGAGAGAGGGAACAGTGGGGTCACTGACCTTCTCTTCGCACCCTCCCCAGCCAAGCTTCAGAGACTTTCTTTAATAGAAGAGTCTAATAGTTTGAGGGTTGGGAGGAGTTGGAAGGGCAGAGAAGGAAAATTGCAGAACTGTTTACTTCCTTTTTCTTGACTTACAGGATACATCTAGTATCGTAACCTGTGGAAAAAGAGGAAGACCAATTTCTGGAATGTTTACTAAGAACAGCAATCATTTTCAACTGTTGTATTTCTCTCTCTCTGGTTTACACATGTATATGTGCACATGTGTGTGTGTGCGTGCACACACACACACATATGCACTCTTACCAAGCCCTCTTGTAAAACTCATGCTGAGTAAACTCAGCCTCCACTCACAGCAGCATAGCTACAAACTGACTGCTTCTCATGGAGGCCAAGTTTTCTGGCAGCAGTGCTTCAGTTCGTGGAAAAGGAAAGGGACTCAGTTCTTCTGCAAACATTTGCTATATACTTGGACTATTGACTTGGGCTTCTGAGCCTCATTTCTGGTACAGTGTACAAGGATCTCTGAAGAAGAGGCCCTTAGAAGTCCAGGGAATACAGGGAATGCCTGTCATTTCAGGGAATTGTGGATAATAGGTCTTCCTCATTTTGTGGTTCTGATAACAGAGACAAATGTCTCTCCTTCAACTTTCACATTGATGCAGTTCAGCTGTGCAAGTCACCAAATGTTCAGGTATTCAAGGCTAAAATGCAACTGTGGCAATATTAAGAGGATCAGGCAAAGGACTCCTGTGTCCTATGGTACCCTGTTATAGATAAATGAGCTTGGCTGTAGAAATGCTTGAATATCAAAATTCAAGCCTAAGAAATTAATACAATTTGTTTTTATCCTATAAGGAGTCACAAAATGCTTATTAAAAATTGCACTTTCCCAATACATTAGCCGATTATTTGTGTATGTATACTATATGAACAGATATATAAAATTAGCTGACATATATACATATAATTTATTTACATGTATGCATATATGTATCATATATTTCATATAATATATGTATTTCATATAATGTATATACACACATATATAGAGTGTATATATATATATATATATACACACTAGCCGATATGTGTACATATAACATGCATGCATAAATTAAGAATTTTTGACTAAATTGCTAAACATTTTCATTTTTTCTGCATTTTACAGATCAGGCCAAGAGACCAGAGGGAGCCATACTTTTACCCGTCTAGTTAGTCATATACTTGGCATTTATTAAGTTTCCTTGCATATGACACCTTAGAAAACGGGATGCAGCTACTTCGAGAGCTTGTGACTTCTTGTGTGACTTTCTGGTTTCTTGATAACACTGACATGCGCCCAGAGGGGTACCAGGTCTGGGGATCTCAGGGACTCTTAGCACTTTAAGACAGCTGTCTGTATTCTCAGGCCCCAGTATGTTTTCCTCATGCCATAAAGATGTTTCATATGTTGCTGACTTGATATAAAGTCTCTTTGTAGTGTGGTGACATTGGCCAAGCTGCAGTATAGGAGGAACAAAATAGTCGTGCAAGGTGTCCAAAAATAATTAAGTCTGCATTTTTATTATTGTGTGTAATAACAATGTTTATATTATCATTTCTGGTCCCATGCCAATTTCCATCTTGTCTTTGGAGTGCTCCTCATGTATTTAGACTAAGGAGAATTGAGCATTCCTTGCAATAATTATACATAGTGTTCAGGAATATCCAAGAACATGCAATTTCCAACATTTTCTCCACCTGGAATGTTCTTTCAGCTCATATCCTGTCTTGTATGATAACACTAACATGTCTGGTTTGCACTCACCTTTTTTGGAACTCCAAGTACTAAGCAGACCTGACCTTACTTAGCTTCCAAGATCAGATGAGATCGGGCATGTTCAGGGTGGTACGGCTGTAGGCTGCATCTACTCTTTAACCACTTACTTATCTACCTGGAATTGTTAGTTGAAAATGTTACATCTTCCTAGTTGATTCTTCCTCAATAAACTAAAGCATCCCATTTGGTAGAGTCTGTGTCTTTTCTGTAACAACCAGCACAATGGTGAGCACATTTATTCCATAAATAGTTGATAAAGGATTAAAATAACCAAACAAACAGACTGAAACAAGAAAACAGGGACTGATTCCATCATTCCTCTGACTTGCTACTTGAAATGCTAAATTCTTTTCTTTAAACATATATTCTAGGAATTAAAGGTAAGGACTTATTTTCAAAAATGGAACAAAAACAAGAATTCTGGGTCAATCTCACATTTCAAAAACCAAAACCTCTGGACTCTTTTGTTTTTGAACTCCAAGGTTACCAGTCTTTCTTTGCTTGGGAACACAGAGGTTTCCCATTCCAGCAAAGTGGTATGATTGAATGAGTTACCTATTGTTCATCACTGAATGTTTCCCTTCTTTTTTTCCCAGGCTTGTTAGAGTGCTGTGCAAGATGTCTCGTAGGGGCCCCCTTTGCTTCCCTGGTGGCCACTGGATTGTGTTTCTTTGGTGTGGCACTGTTCTGTGGCTGTGGACATGAAGCACTCACTGGCACAGAAAAGCTAATTGAGACCTATTTCTCCAAAAACTACCAGGACTATGAGTATCTTATCAATGTGTAAGTACCTGTTCTTCCACACAGACCCATGTCTTTTTCCTTGTCTCCATCCTGGAGATACAGTATGCACCAATACCTTAGTGACAAGTAGAAGATGGAAATAGAGCCACAAAAGATTCTTCAGTCTTCGCTCTGTACAAATTCCACCTGTGCTTCATTAGAAGCTCTAAATGAAGAGACATGTCAGACTCAGAAAGGGGAGGTTTGCCTGCCCACCCCCTTCCACCTCTCCCTGTTTTCTCATACATGTTCTAACTTCTTTGTCAGGTATGGTAAATGTTGCTTGAGTTGCCTTCTCAGTGGCAGGTATAAAGAACCCAGTGGAGGTACAATGATTGAACAGAATGGGGTCACTACTCTTGATTTAACACACTGCTTATATGTGCTCAGGGTTAGTACAGAATCTCTCCAGCTCCTACAGCAAGTCAGGCTAGTGTTCCTTCTCCTCTCTCCCTATTTGTCTAGCTTCTCTCTATGTGAGGTAGCAGGCAAGGAGTGTAGGGCCTGGTTCTCTAGGTTAGAGGGTATGCAAGGGATTGGGGGAGGAACCTGTCCTCCTGGCTACCTGCTCCCGTTCATTTACTTTAGTAAAGATAAAAGTATGGAGGAAAAACCTGGTGATTCTCCTATAGAACATCTAGCCTTGTTAAGGTGCCCATTTAGGTATGTACTTTACACACTATGTGAGAAAAGAGCTGAGTCTTCAATGAATAAGATTGTCTTGCCTCTTCTGTCTGTTACTGTAGGATTCATGCCTTCCAGTATGTCATCTATGGAACTGCCTCTTTCTTCTTCCTTTATGGGGCCCTCCTGCTGGCTGAGGGCTTCTACACCACCGGCGCAGTCAGGCAGATCTTTGGCGACTACAAGACCACCATCTGCGGCAAGGGCCTGAGTGCAACGGTAACAGGGGGCCAGAAGGGGAGGGGTTCCAGAGGCCAACATCAAGCTCATTCTTTGGAGCGGGTGTGTCATTGTTTGGGAAAATGGCTAGGACATCCCGACAAGGTGATCATCCTCAGGATTTTGTGGCAATAACAAGGGGTGGGGGACAATTGGGCGTGAGTCTGTGGCCTCATCCCCACCCAAGGCTGGATCTCTAGCTTTTGAGTGAGGAAGTGATGGCTGCAGCCGAACGAGATGGTCAGGAAGAACGTGGTGCCTGACTGGCTTAGTCTCACGTTTCAAAAGTTCCCCAGAAAATTTCATCTCAAACTGAAAAGTATGAGTTTTGTGGATGCTTTGTACAATCAGACCATTTCTAAGCCATATGTTGGTATCCTTTCTAACAGGAACCACAACAGTGGATCTAACTGCACAAGAATCTAAACCACTGCTCATGGGATTGAGATTTAGACACTTGATCTGAGGGGGAGGGAGGAGCATAGAAATTAATGAAAATAATTGGCTCCAAGGTAGAATGCCCAAATATTCTGGGATCCTACACTGTTGAGACTCCAATAGAGAATTAGAGTAGATCTGTATATTCAATGTTTTATCTTTGCCTGAGGGCTATCCATAATTCCAGTAAATACACATTGCTTTTTAGTCTCTAATGATCTTTGAGGGGACAAAGATCTTTGTGGGTTGTGGTGACGTCTTTTTTTGTGGCCAGCAGTTGGTTTAGAAAGGTTTTTGTATCTGAAATTTAAATCTCATATTGGCTTTAATCAATGACTGGGGAACAAATATTCTGTGACAAGGAACATTTTGTAAGATCAGCCTAAGGTGCAAAATGGTACCACTTTCTTTCAAGATCTGTTTTGATTTCTTTATACCTTTATCTTCCCCCCAAGTCCCCTGAAGCCTCTCTAACCCAGGGATCCTCCTCACTCCCACCCCTTCCCATTCCCCTTCCCCTCCGTCACACTTGCGGCCATTTCTCTAGGAGATACTGCCAATAAGACTTGGCAGAGTTACCTTGCTCACTAATTTTATTTGAGGGAGATCTCTGGAATCAGATTTCTTTGGCACATGCCACTCCAGGATTTCCCAGTTTGTGTTTCAACATCTCCAAGGTGATGCTTATTTCTAACCACCCTATGTCAATTGTTTTAGTTTGTGGGCATCACCTATGCCCTGACCGTTGTGTGGCTCCTGGTTTTTGCCTGCTCTGCTGTGCCTGTGTACATTTACTTCAATACTTGGACCACCTGCCAGTCTATTGCTTTCCCCAGCAAGACCTCTGCCAGTATAGGCAGTCTCTGTGCTGATGCCAGAATGTATGGTGAGTTGGGCATGGGTGCCTTAGCTCCTCTACCAACTATGGAAGCAACATATATTTGTTTCTTTTCTTAGAGTGAGGAGGGTGGTGACTGTGGAAAAAATACAAGATGATGAATGCCTGGGTTAATTAACTTCCCCCTAAAACTGGAGAGATTTATCTGGGAAGGGAAATTGGAAGTGGTAGGAATTCTCTTGGCTGTTCACACTGATCTACACTGCTCTACCCTGGTGGACGAATATTCCCAATCTCAGAGTAACACATTTCAATAGCAAACACAAGATTTTGCAACTGTTCAATAGCATCTTTCCTTTTGTTGTAAATTGTTGGCAAGCTCCAACTTTACAGTCAAGGTAATTAGAGAGGGAAGAGGGTGGTACTAAGGAAAGTCTCCATGTAACCTCATACCTCCCTGAAGCTTACCGTGGTTGATTTTTTTGCATCTTACATAGGTGTTCTTCCATGGAATGCTTTTCCTGGAAAAGTTTGTGGCTCTAACCTCCTGTCCATTTGCAAAACAGCTGAGGTGAGTGGTCTATTTTACAATGGAATGGCTAATACCATAGAAATTTCTATTCATGACTTTCAGTTTTCAAGATTATCCTTTTCCTTGCTGGATTTAGAATTAATAGATATTCCTTCTACAATATATTAGCTAAATATGCCTCAGTCAATACACATAAATGGTAGAAACACCTATTTTCCCCTAAACCTGCATAGAAAGACTTACATTCTAAAACTCTTATCTCTTAAAAGAGAATTGTGTAGCTTTAGAAAAAGATAGAGCTTAATGGCAAAATTCCCCAAATGAAAAATTTCACCCTTTCAGTTAAAAACCTTATCAAGAGAATGGACTGTGCAGAGACACACATGGGTTCTATAAAACACTTTCAATTTAGAACTTCTTCATCTCTAATTAGAGGCAAAATAAGTACATTTGAAAAAGAAAACACTTTGAGAACAGATATTACACACAAATGTAGCAGGGGAATAAATGTAAATCCTGGGGAGAAAGACAGTAAACTATTTCTTAGAAAGCAAAAGTATTGATTTCATGTTTGGAGGGAAACCCTGGGCACAAGTGTAGGGAAAGAGTTGATTATCTGAGAGCACGCTACTATTTTATAAATTTTCTGTGCTCTGGGTGCTATGGGGCTGGATGCTATGGTGTGCATTGTAGAATGGGAGGACTACACTTAAGGGAAGTGAAATTTTATTTAGAAATACAGAATTAACACACAAGACAGACACAAACCCATTTAGCAAGCCGCATTCACTATTTACAGTAGAGAATTTTTTGTTGTTATAAAAATAGTTTTCCCTCTTGCATTTTCCTGCAGTTCCAAATGACCTTCCACCTGTTTATTGCTGCATTTGTGGGAGCTGCAGCCACACTGGTTTCCCTGGTGAGTTGTCTTTGAATGATCTTAGCAAATAAATGGTCCTAGGATAGCTTAGATGCAGTTATGCTGAAAAACAAGAAGATAGACTCCTTCCAACCTTGAAAAGCTACTAGGAAGAGACCACAAGGTATAGGGCTGTATACTTCTGCTTTGGGTTGGCAAGACAGAAAGTCTTTAGAAATTAGACAAGAACAAGAAAAGTGGCCTAAAGAAAAAAGGAGACAAGAGATTCACAGTCCTAAGTGATAATGTTGGGCATTTACAGAGCATATAATGTTTGTCAAGTGCTTTGCAGTCAGAGCCTGGTCAGATCAGTGATAAGAACACTGGAACTTTACTAAACATGATTTTCTATAGCCTAGAATTCCACATGCTATAAATATGAATCCATCTTGGATGCTGTCCAATGGATTTAGTTACCCTTATGGGAATACTGGAAGGACCTCCTAACATTACTAGAATTGTTATGACTCTAATGCAATCCTATGTCCCAGGTCCTGCTGATAGTGTTACAGTGTCAATGTAGATTGCTCATTGCACAAATGAAAAACCTATGGAACTAAAGGGTGAGGTGATTTACCTGAAATCACTGAATAACCAGTGAATGGATAAGAATGAGCTTGCAGAAGCCTTCCCCTACCACTGAGGCTTTTATACAAAGTTGACCTATTTCTCACTATGTAAAATCAGTTGATGCATTAAAGCAGGGGAAAGCTATGTTGCATGGTGTGATCATATGTCTATACCCTGAGACTCCAAGTCAGTCAGGTAAGTGGATGTGATAGAAATCAGGTATAGTTCACTTCCCTGAGGAAAACTCAGTGCAATGTATTGGAGACATGGCTTAGGCAGTAGAGACCAATTTAGTGCTAGACTATTAGAAGGACATGTTTCAGACAGGATTTCTAGTCAGACGTATGGAGGGAAAGCCTGGGATATGGTTTTTTTTTTTTTTGCAGAGTAGTATTTCTCCTTTATTTGATTTTATTTCTACCCCTCCTCATTCCCAAAAGAATTGGAGGAGTGAGAGCTTCTTTTCTACTGTCATTCATCTTCTCTTTTCTGTTCCCTACAGCTCACTTTCATGATCGCTGCCACTTACAACTTCGCCGTCCTTAAACTCATGGGCCGAGGCACCAAGTTCTGATCTCCCATAGACATCCCCCTTTCTCTAATAGCAAGGCTCTAACCACACAGCCTGCAATGCTGCGTCTCCCATCTTAACTCTGCCTTTGCCGCTGACTGGCCCTCTTATTACTTGATGACTATAACAAGAAAGGAGAGTCATGCAGTGATTACTGTCTCTCTGTGGACTCTCCCTCTTATGTACCTCTTTTAATCATTTTGCTTCATAGCTGGTTCCTGCTAGAAATGGGTAATACCTGAGAAGGTGACTCCCCAACTGCAAGTCACAAGGGAATGGAGGCTCTAATTCAATTTCCAAGCATCTCCTGAGGACCAGGAAGTGCTTTCTTATCAAAGGGCACTTCCTCTGATGGATACAAAGTGGGAAGAAAGATGCTGAGGTAGAGAGAAGGAATGTCCTTGGTCTCCTTGCCATCAATAGTGGCCAAATATATTCTCCTTGGTGTACAAAAAACAGAGAATGCACTCCTGTCTCCCTATTACCACTGAAGATAGAAGGTAAAAAAGAGGAATGCTAGCAAAACAATAAAAACATTTGCCCAAATCTGCCTATTGCAGCTAGGAGAGGGGTCAAAGCAAGGATCTTTCACTCTTAGAAAGAGAGCATTGATCCCCCGTGGCAATGGACTATTTAAGCCCTAACTCAGCCAACCTTACTTATAGCAAAAGGGAGAGTAGTGTCTGTAGACAAAGGGGACGTCTTGCCTTATACCGTGTTAGAAAGATAAACAGGGTGTTTTCAACATCTTCTCACTCCCTACTCCTTGATAACAGCTACCATGACAACCTTGCGGTTTCCAAGGAGCTGAGAATAGAAGGAAACGAGCTTATAAGAAATAAGACTGGCCTAAAGAGCAGCAGTTGCTGGTGGCTAACAGTATAACTCTGAGATGACCCTCTGGTAGACTCAGGATAGATAACACTTTGGACAGCATGTCTTTTTTTCTGTTAATTAGTTGTGTACTCTGGTCTCTGTCATATCTTCACAATGGTGCTCTTTTCCTGGGGTTTTATCCATTCACTGTAGTAGGTGATTTGAAGATCTTGATTTGTTTCAAAATGATACACATTTCACATTTTCCAATTTGTTTCTCACTTGTTTGGGATCGTATCAAAAAGGTCTGGAGAATGAGTCTTTGATTATAATTCTTTAAAAAAAAAGGAAAAGTGGACAATAAGCATTACAAATGATATTTAAAATTGGCTAGTTCCATGAGTCTATTAGGATTTTGTATAAGTATTCTGCCCTTTGTAGAAACAGATTTGGTGGATTTGGTCCTCAATTTAAATAACCTGTTTGATCATTTTTTTTCTGGCTAATGGGAGGTGATTTTACTTAGCAATGTTGTCTTGGAATGTTAAGAATTAGGTTTAATGAAGGTTATTTTCTCTTGGTATAGATCACGTAACAAAGCACACAAGCTGTTAGGTATTCAGTTGGTAAGCTTCCATGGAAAAGGACAGACAGAAAGAGTTTGAAACCTAAATATTTCCCAGATTTTGGTCTTCTCCTGTTTCTGTTAACTTTGGATTAAAAAAAACTGGTTTTTATTGGAGGGAAGATTTTTTACTGTAGACTTTTGTTGTAAAGAATTATGTTGTATTTTTCCTCCCAAAGTGGTTTCAGCAAGGTTTAAGGAGATATAAGATCTTTACAAAAAGACACTTGATACTTGCTTTCAGACCAGTATACAAATAAGCTTGCAGGTTGCACAGAGCAAAGAGAAGAAAAAGGTCCTGTAAGAAACCAATCAAGATCAAGGAAAGTGAAGTAACCTATACCTTGTATTTTGTTTTCATTTAATAACATAACAAATAACCAACCTTCCCTGAAAACCTCATATGCATACATACATACATGTACACACAAAAAGAGAGTTAATCAACTGAAAATGTTTCCTTCATTTCTGATAAAGAATTTCAATTTTAACACACATAAAGAATAAACTTTTAGAAACTTATCTTATAAAATGTATTTTATAAAATTAAAGAAAATAAAATTAAGAATGTTCTCAATCAAACTTTGTGTCCTTGGAGTAAATTGTTCTGTTCAATCTCACAATAAGAACGTAAGAATTGTACTGAGTTTGAGGACTCAAACTCAAAATCAAATCAAGCTTTATTTTTCAAATCAAGCAGATTCTAACACTACTTCTATGAAATAAATATTAGATAAATAGATCACTTCTATTTTTATAGCTGGAGCCACTAAAAAATAGAGGCAATGTAAGTTATCCAAAGAAACCCAATAAGCACATGTCTGAACTTGAATTAGAACTAAGGTCTTAATACCAATTCATTGTCTGTCTAAAGTTTTCTTTTGTCTTTGAAGTTGGGTTTTAGAGTGTTCTGCTCATTCAGAGTCAAATATGGCTACTTTGTCAATGACATAGTGGAGCCCCAGCCCCTGATATATTCAGCATGAAATTATTGTTACTTTTGCTTTAAATTGTTTGGCTACTCCAATAATAACACATTGGTGCTTCATGCATGACTAATGCTTAGATTTACCTGGAAAGTACCAGATGAAAAGTTTAATGTTTATAGGACAGAACAGATTTAGCAAAAGAAGTATAAATTAATTGTGTAGGTAGGGCAGTATTAAAATAAATTAGTAAAAAGATAAATTAGTGACACCTACTGCCCAAAACAGCTTAGCCTAGCCCACCTCACATAGCACTAAAGCCCTGTAACAACCCCAGGTTAGAATTTGGCATTCTTCAATAGTACTCTGATGACCAGCTAAAAGAAAGCTAACTTAAAATTAGCCATAGATCTATTGTCCCATAACTATAGCTTGATGAAAGCAAAAGGAGACTTTAGCTGGAGGCGACAAGTCAGTCATCAGTTAAAGAGCTTTCTTCAAAAGTAGTTTCAGTTGTAATCTCTAACTTCTGCTTCATCACAATTAATATCATGCATGTGAGTCTGGTTGAATAACTTTAAGACAAAAATAACAAAAATATGACAAGGACTTATTTTTAGATACTGGCAAACAAGGAAACAGCACCATGTTTTGGAGAATTGATTCAGGGTGCTACAGAGTGAATGTATTTTTGCCTCAGAGGAGTGAAAGCCAGTTCCCAAGAAAGCTGTGTTTTCCATCTGCCTTAATTTGGTTCTGCCCTCTGGGATGGATCTATAGATTGTGTTTCCAGGCTCTCAGAAGCTGAGAGCATCTCCAGTCTATCAATTGAGCCCATTGTTCTTAGCTCTCCCACACACCATAAACCTCTTTTCTCTGAACTGAAAGAGCTCTCTTTGTACTTAGATCAGCCAAAGATCAAGATGCAGCAGAATAAACAAGAAACATTTTCTTACAGCATCAGTTGTATGGCTTTTCCTATCTTCAGGGTCAGAACTGAGTGCAGTTATGCAGTGTGTAGAAGCTGCAGCTTTGTCCAAAGGGACATTCATTCATTCATTCATTCATTCTATATACATGAATTGAACACCTACTAAGCTTTGTGCTAAACCCTGGGAGGTTGGAGTTTGGAAGCATGTGGTAGAAAGAGGATGAAAATATGATCTTACACTCAGGGATCTCTCTCACCTTCAGCCACAGCAGAAAGTTCTTCCAGGGTGGACCAGAGTGAAGGCAGGGAACATGCATGGCTGATGGCTGACTGCAGTGGGCATCTGATTTCTCCCATCAGTATGTGGGAGAGGTAGTGGTTAAGGGTCATGACTTCACATGGCTCTTGTTTTCTAGGCCCTGAATAAAACAAAACTTCAATTTAGAGTCCTGAAAACTTGTGACTTTCTCTCTATATATCACCCTGGTTCTGTCTTACATGTGACATCATTTAGGCACATACTGGAACAATGCATGTGGCTTACTTACACCCACTCAGTCATTTCAGGAGTCAGAAGGCACATGGATCAGTATTTATATTAACACAAGCTATTCAGCTTGCCTTTTTCTCTCAATGAAGGCTAAATCTGAGAAGCCAAGAAAGTAGTCCCAAGAGAAACAAAGAGTTACATAAAAGAAGATACAGAAATTCAAGCATGTATCTAGAGAAAGAAGCCTGATGTGCTATAATACAGTTTTCAGGTTGAAAACGTTTAATACCTTTGGATTGTTTCACTTACTAACATGGAAAATACCTCAGCTCTGGATTCCAAAGGAACTAGCTTCATTGATATTGTGTACATTTTATGAAATTCTATCTTTCAAATATCAAAAGGGTAAACTGCTGGAGTCTGAGGGTTGCAACATTGAAAACAAGCCAACCACATTTGGAAATTTATTGATGATGAACCCACATGCAGAGCAACTTAAAAAAACAGGAAGGGAAATGTGGCTTTTTCCCACATTGACAAAAAATGTGAATACAACCATAAGAATTCTTCTATATGTAGAAGTGGTCTTAGTAAACAAATGGCTCAGCTAATTATTGTTAGAAAGTCTACACATCAATATTTTTAAAAACTGCATTCATTTTCAGCATATGTTCCCAACTTCTTGTTGGTGAAAGTATAAATAATTCCACAGAGCAAGTACATCAGGAAATATTCTGAAGCCAGTTTATCTGAGGGGACACAAGTACAATACACTTTTTAAAGTCAGGTGGTTTATTAGTGTTTAATGAATTTGTGTGTATGTGTGTGTTGTCTATTTTGAGTAGCTGAAGTGGTCTTAGCCACTTTAAATATTTTTCAGGCTAAAATTGTTTTAGTTATACTTTGACATAGGGTTTTAATGACTTATTTACCAGTGTTAAAGAAGACCCTTTATACAACTAATATATGCAAATAAAAATTAAAATGCCTTAAGAATGAAACCTGTTGAAATTATTCTAAGAAGGGGGGAGAGGAAAGAGGAAGAATGGTGGAGGGGGTGAATCCAACTACGATATATTTTAAACACATATGTAAATATCACAATGCATCCCCCTGTACAACTATTATATGCTAATAAAATCATAATTAAAAAATAAAAACACTGAAAAATTAAAAATAAAAATACCTTGAACAAGTTTACCCCCTTCTTTATATTCCCATTCCCCCCTCCCTCTTCTCTCAAAAAGAAGACTCAAAATAATTATTTGAAGAGAATCTTGACCTATTGTACAGACAGCCACCTCCAGCAATAATAGTTATACTTTAGAGTACTCTGCAAAACACTTTATCTCATTTAACCTTCACATCAGACCTATGAGGCAGAAGCAACTGTTATCCCTCGATCCCATGCTTGAACATGTGCCCTTATCAGTCACATCAGTTCCCACATAAGCATGTTGATAATATCCCAGCTGAGCTGACTGCTAAATCTGCAGAAAATGTCTGCTTTTGGGTATTTGTCATAGAGCAGAACTGCAGTGATTACAGCTCAGTACTTACAAAACCTCCACTGAGAGAAGCAGTAGTTAGGAGGGACAACTAGAATAATTAGAGTCAATTCATTCCCCAGTCATCTCCAGACATTCTTTATTGTGCAATCATATCAGTAAAACATATTGGAACCCACCCCCCATGCCCTTGCTGCTTTAAGTGTGGTCTGAGAACAAGCAGCATCAAAACCACCTAGCATCTAGTTGGAAATGCAGAATCTCAGGCACTGACTGACCTACAACTACTGAGTCAGAAACTATACTTCAATTAGACCTCAGGATGATTCATATGTACATTTAAATTTGAGGTTTGCTGTGTGTAATCATATAAAAATGTTTTAAAATACATAATACACTGATGTTTAAGATGTTAACATTATATTCTTGTGCTGCTCTTCTAATACATTAAATAAATTCTAAAGCATTCAAAACAGAACTTTAAAGTATGAGATGAATACAGAATATTTTAAAATAAAATATTTGATGACATATAAAATTTATCTCTTATTTTAAACATGTTATTATTAATATTTAGTGAGATCAGTGTGATTGATATGCCTTATTAATTTTGAAATCATGGCATAACATTTTGGAATGCTGAATTCAGTTTAAACTGACACTTGTTTTGAATGGATGTCATAGCTGGAAATGGTACCTTACAAAGATTCATGGATCTAAATGGACACAGTAGGACATTGCAGTGCTCAGCAAATAATGCTACTAAATTTCAAGTGTTTTCACTATGGCATTCTTTAACTTAGTGTTAAAAAGACATCTTTCCTTGACAAATAAGCAAGGACACTAAAGTCAATCTTTATATTTATTATTAATAAAACAATTATATTAACATTAAAATTAATACACATGTATTTCTAATGGATCATTTCCTAATCTCCATAGAATGCACAGACCTCACATTAGAAAGTATTCCATGTAGCAGTTTTTCCAAACTATTTAGAATATGAAAATCTCTTTCAAGGTGATAACTTTTCTCAGGGCTCTACCACAACAGTGGTTAGTTATACTTTTAATAACCATTATTTGAAAAAAAACCATTTTAAACCTGTTGTGCCTTCATTAACACTCTTTGAAACTTTTTCTTACAGAAAACCTCAAGCATACAGAAAAGTAAAGAGAATCGTATGATGAGTCTCATGTAACCATTACTCAGCTTCAGCAGTGATCAGTATTCAATAACACTTTAAAATGAGTTTGTATTTTATTGATTTCTCTATCCACATGAAGATGCATCATTCCACTGACAATCACTGATGTTCAGATGGATATGGAAACTCCTTTCAGAAAGACCTCCATTTTCTACCCCAAGCACAAAAGAACAGAGGAGTATAGCTTGGGGATCAGCCTACTTTAGAGCCTAAAATATTTCCTGAATTAAGCCAGACCAACAGGGCTGGTGGTGTGGCTCAAGTGGTAGAACACGTGCCTAGCAAGCATGAAGCCCTGAGTTCAAACTCTGGTACCACCAAAGTAAACCAGAACGACAAGTAGCAACATACTTGAATGGCTCCATAGTGGCTCCCATGGAATTATTTTTGCTGAATTGCTCTGTTTTATGATGCCAGTGACTTTTGTCAAGGAATTTCTTTAAAAAAAAAAAGTAGTCCTACCTGACATTGGCAATGTTTATTATAGGCTAACCCAGAAGGCTACAGAGGAAATATTTC